ACAGCAGCTTGGCTTCTTCCTAGCAGTTTTGTTAGTAAGACATAATGCCAAGGATAGGTGAGGACAGCAATCACTGGAACTTGGCCTTTGCAAAGCAGCTAAAACCCAAGTGACAAGAAAGCAGGTTGAGAAAATACCAGCCCTCTCACATCCCACAGCTGCTGTGAACTGCAGTAAGCTGAGTCTCTCACCAGCCTTCCCAGAATGCAGAGTGCCTTTGGATCCCATTAACCTTTACACTTGCCTACAGCCAGCCAGAAAAATTATGATGCATGTTTTTGCATCCCCTATCAGCAAAGTGCCCCGCTGAAAACCCTGGGTTTCCTTGTGACTTCTAAGTTGCAAACCAAACCTGAAGATTAAACAAAGGCAGCTTTTTCATGTGGGGACCAGGGAAGAGAATTTGAAGATGATTTTGCAATTAACTTTTTTTTTGTCCAGTTACTGTAAACTGTAATTGCATGCAAACAATAAGGCACGGAAGGCATGTTTCATTTAGAGTACCATGCATTTTCACAGTGCTTACATATTCAGAGAATGTTATTCATGTTCTTTCACAATAATAGGAAAACAAAGTCTTGCAGTAAAGATCTGTTTTTAAATTTTCACTTGTGTTTTGCAGAACCGATAGATTTGCGTATCAGCTAAGCCTACTATTACATTTATTAAACCCAGAAAGTTGAACTGTATTCCACCTGACCTTCAGCTATGGATACTAGCTGTCAGTCTCCATAGCTCAGCCAGCTTCATACTAGTGTCTTGCTTTTCCATGTAGATAGTTTTTTCCCATATATCTTACACCTAAGGGCAATGAGCATTATGGCTGTGACATCTGCTGCCAGTGCACCTGTGGCTCCAGCTGGTTGTCTTCCCTGGGGTAAATGAACAGCACAATACTTAGACTCTGAGGGGGTTAATTTATTGCAGCCAGTATCACCATAACCATCAATCATATCAGTTACACTTCTTGCAACAAGTTGTTTCACAAGAAGTATGATTTAAGAAGCATTCCCAAGATTTCTCAAACTTGAGAATGACAAACCTGTTTTGTGGGGGGTGGAATATATCAAAACTGTCAGAGACCATGGGAAGGAGAAGCTACAGCAGGCAATTAAGAGTGACCATGAGAAGGAGGAACTACAGCAGGCAATTAAGAGTGACCCGTCCCTGACTGGTACTTGGAAGATGTTGGAACTGGCAAGGAACAAGGATGTCAGAACTGGAAAGAGGATTTCTCGACCTTTCACCTGATGTAACCGCAAGGCAAACACAGATGTGCTTGGCTAATTGCTTGGAAGCATATAAATATCGCATAACCTTTGCAATAAATGATCCAGCTTGCACTCTACCTCTGGGTCTGTGCCTCCATCCTCACACTGTTTTTTCTTGCCTTTACTGAATACAATGTGTTACTGCTTACTTGTACACAAGGCAGAACAAGAGCATCTTATGCCTGCTTGTCGTGTTTTAAGCCCAGGACAGTGCTTCACACAGCTCAAGGCTAAAAAGAACCATATCCACATGGCAAAGGCTTTATGACTGGAAGTTTACCTGTTGAATTTACCAGTACAAGCAGCAAAGTGACTGTTAATATTAAATGTAGGGTTGGTAGAAGCTTCAGTTCAAACTCTGGGAATAGAGCTTTCTTGGTCTCATTCTGGAAATGGATCAGGAAGTAGCAGTACATTTCCCTCTTTCCTGAGGTCTTCCGCCTTTATTTTAAAGAAAAAAGTCCTTTGATACTGCAAGAGGTACTTTTATTCCACACTGAAACAGTCCTTCCTAAGAAGTCTTTTCCTCCCTTACACTTTCTGACCTCCTACTTCAAGTCTAGTTCAGTTCAGTTTTAAGTGCAGCAAGCTCACAGTTGCATGCAAAGTTGAATGATTTGTAGATGCTTGTGAAGTACACCCATACCATAGGATCTCCTGTGACTGTAGTGCACTAGTCCTATTGAATGTGGTGGCTCCTTCCACCACTCATAAAACAACCTGAAGATGCCATTAGTAGTCTAGCTGCCACACAGGCACTTGTCCATTAGGAACTGTCCCTGACAGATAAGAAGCTATGGAAAAGCAGTCATGATAAATTAAGTCTATTTAATTCCAATTATGATAGATTTAATCTGTGACTTCAGGGTGAAGGAGAATGAGTTCTGCGAACATATCTCCTACTGTGGGATGTGCTCACGAAAGCTGCATGATATCAACAGTTGACTCCTTTCTGACAGCAAGTCTTTCTGCTCAAGGTCACTTAAGGGCAACACAAGTGAATGTAAAAGTAATTATTTAGGGAAAAAAAGAGGCAACATCAACAAGATTCAGAATTTTAGCTGGCATGAAAGGAGGTTATGCTTATCTTAAAGATGCAAATGTTGGTAAGTAAGCACATTTGTTTTCATTTGAAGACAGAACCATTGACCTGTTTGCTCTTGTTGTGTTGTCTAATTGATTACCTAACTGGCTGATTGGATTAAAATGTGTTCCTGGTATGTGCCCTTTCCTCCTCTTGGTTTCTATTACTTCAATTTTTAGACCATATTAAAAATCAGTTTAAAATTATTTTTCGGATCACAGACTACCCTTATATTATCTCATGTTGTTTTAAACACATTGCAAGCTTTAGAAAAAAATGTTTTATTCATCTGTTATGTTTTCAGTCGCTAAATGCTGTATTTACTCAGTCACTTCCCATTTACTGGCACTTGGTTCTTGAGAGAAATCTACACTTTTTACTTACAGGAAATCTGCAAATACTACAGTTCAGGTTCACTAGTATAAGTCGAACAACCTTTGTGAAAGTACAATCTCATAGATATTATCTTCATTTAGCTTCTAGACTTAAAATCAATCTTATGAAATCTAGAAAGACAAGCATCCAATGTAGGTTTCAATCTGTGCTTTTTTTCTGTGATTCATTAGGTCGCCCCCCATCTCATACAACAAATCTTGTGCATTTTTTCAAAATAATCAGTACTTGGTTAAAGTTGCCACGTATGCATTCATCAATCACAAAGTATTATTTTGCAATTAAAATATTGAATTGTGAGCCAGGAGCCACACAGTATCAAGATCAAAACCTGACTTACACATCAGGTCTTTATTACCTCGCTCTGCCTTAAGGTTCTGTCGACAGGCAGTAACTTCTTTCTCAACTATCTAAAGATGGATGGCTCAAAACTTGCAGTGCAGGTTAAGCCCCTTGATTAATTTTGGAAGGTGTCCTGTGAATTACAGGACCTCTGTGACACTCTAGCAGAGGCTATCCTGTGCCAAAATGGCTGAAAGATAAGTCTTTTTTTCATCTCCACATTGAAACCAGGTGGCAAGAGGCCTTAAATAAACAATCCTCTGAGATAGTAGATCTAACACCCTATATAATGCAAAGTGCCATTTTTTTCTCTTAGAATACAAACTGTTCACAAGTGGCCACACAAACTGGATGGCTTGACAAGAAACAGATGACTCAGTTCTCTTCACTTACAAAAGGTGATGGAACTGGACTCAGTTTCCCTTCAGTCACTCTTATATGTCCTTTCTTGAAAGTGATATTCTGATGAGCACTAGCTTGAGATGTTACAGGCCAATTTACCTATGGCTTATGAGATGATGCATTTGCATCAACATCTTATTTTCTTTGAGAATATATCACTTAAAATATAGTCTTGCTCTTTGTTAAGAAATCCTTCAAAGTCTGAACCAGATACAATTAATGATCTGATTTTTTTTTTGCCTGGAAATAATCACAAAGAATGATACTGAACAGGGGAACAGCACTTAGTCTAGGGCTGTAGGATCCTTAAAACCCAGTTTTCCTAATCCTGATCCAGCTGTAAACCTTAATTTATTCACCGACCTGTCAGATTTTCTAGGTTGTGTGTGGCCTTCACTCAATGGGTCTTTGCCTCATGTTTCCTTGCACTGGTGTCAAAATTTCATGAACTTAAAGCGCAGCACTTCCCTTCAATGCTGGTAGCCTCCATGCTAGACAGAGCTGGGTAAGCTGTGTTTGCTGTGAGAGGATAAGAGGTGGTGGAGCCAGGGAGGGGCCACAGTAGGATGGCAGGGATCAGTGAAACCAAAATCAGGGACTACTTCCTACACCCTGAATTTGGAATCTTGCATATTGGCCGAGATAGCAATCCTGAGGCTTGCAAGTTGCTCCTATGGCACTCACAACCACATTCAACACAGTTACGTGAATGGTAAAAATAGCATAATGTGACAATTAATTTTTATATATGATAAAAAAAAATGGTTCTTTGGTTTTGGCTTTATTCAAAAGCTTAGTTTACAAACCTCTTCTGGTTACAGTCTCTTCTGGTCTTATTTAAGGACTCATCTCTACAAGTTAGGTTTAGAAAGAAACTTACATCAGTCTTCTACTTCTGTGAAACTATAAAATCACACAAGAAACAGTGAAGGACTGACATGAGAAAATGCTTCCTCTGAGCATAATGACTACTATGCCTCCAGTCAGAATTAAGGCCTGTTCCAAAACTATGCGGCTATTTTGTCCATTCATCAATCAAGATCTGCATGTTTACGCACCAGATGACAACATGCAATCCAATGGCCATTACAGATTTTACATTAGAGGAAAGACAGATTACATTAGTCTGCCTGAAACCAACTGTTTGTAAAACTATTGTAAAAAGAGTATATGTAGAGTCATAGTGATCACAAATCAGTTACTAAGCATATTGGACAAAGCCTTGACACTAAATTTAAGAGAGTCAAATTTAGACCTGATAAGCAACTGCTGTCAGAAGTGGTAGCTGCTTACAACAGTAATCTCTGATACCCAGCAAGCACATGTGAATTCATCAATCCCCAGCAGCAAAAGAAGACTTCAGACTATAGCCATTTGCTTGTTACCTTCATTTAGGTGCTAGGTTCTATAGGAAGAGGAGCCTCAGAAACATTCACAGATGACCTGGTAACTTGAAATATCAGAACATCAAGTAGTATAGTCACTAAGCATATACCCCAGAGTGGAGAAAGTGTACAAGATAATTTATTTAAAACAGAATTCCATGAAAAACATGACTCACTGAGGATTAGCCAACACTTTTGGAAGGCTCTTACACCATACCAACAACACAGGCATTTTGGAAAGTCCCTCTCTTTACAGTTTTAAAAGTCTCATCAAGTTGCTCAGATTAAAAAAAGGAAATCCTAGCACTTCTATAGAAGTCTCAGCAATGAAGAGCTTTAAAAGTTCACCTTTGTGTTGGTATTTCTCTTATTCAGGATAAAGGAAGAATTGATGCTGGAGTACAATTCAAAATAATAACAGGATCAGCCTCTGTATTCTTTCTCAACAGCCCAAAGATTACATGTTCCTATTACCTTTGGGGTGTGTTAGAAAAATCCCTAGTATGCAATTTCCAGCTAAGCTTCTACAGGAAGAAATCTAGGTCCTGTCTTCCAAAGGCTTTAAGTGATAAAACTTAAAGAACATCAAACGTAAACGATTCACAGGCAAGAGCAATTCACATCACAGAAACATTTATGTTGTGCTCTTAACTGCTAATGGAGGCAGACCCATTCACTCCCCAGGAGCAAAACATTCCTTCAGCAAACGAAAACTGGCCAGGGTCCATTCCTGTCATCTGCATGAAGAAGCTGTCACAAAACGAACAACCCAGGTGTGAATTTAAAGTACAATAGCCATTTATCTTGTTTCTCTTGGTGCTCTGGTTCCAGCAGGTTACATTGGGGTGGCTACAGAAGAAAGATGCTGTTCACAGCTGGATGTGTGCCCCTAGTTCAGACATTTCTGCCTCCATTATGAGGCTAGCTGATGAAGCAGCTGCTGGGCTGCCACAAATTACAGACTAAAATCAATGAAAACCATCAGGCATAAAACACAACCAAGAATGCATCCTCATTCTAAGTAATCCTAGTCATCCTAAGCAATATCAAGGCCACAGAATAAATGAGATCTGTAGGTAGCCTGAAAAGAATTGCCAACAAGGATTCATAGGATGCCTTGTGCTGAATCTGGCAACAGGGTGAGATTCTGAGTGCTCGTAGAAGTCCTTGTCAAACATGATTTAAACATAATCAGTGTCCATACCAAAAAACAATGTCTTTCACAGAATCTGAGTTGTTTCTCTCATAAATGAGTCACCACAGACCAACAGAATTGTTTGCCCCACCTAACTGGATTTACAGGCAACTTCTTTTGAAATAGCAAATTGTGTAAAAATAACTATACACACAGACAACCCTCTAATAACTGTAAAGACAGTCAGAACTTTCTATATACCTATGGGTGCTTAGACTTTATCCTGAATGGTAAAAAAATTGAGGTAGCCTTACCAAAGGGAAGTACAACCTAAAATACTTTCAAACCAAAAATTTCTTCCTACCTTTTCACACAGATTTTAGTATTGTTTATTAAAAAAAACCAAGTTAATGAAAAAGCAGGGTTCAAACTTATTTTTAAAATACATTTTTGGTTAGGTTGGTTCTATTTATGTAGAAAAGCCTCCAGGAGACCATTCTGAAAACGCAAGACAGCAATGCTTCAAGTATCTGTCAGGTTGTGTGATAAGCCTCATGCTGCATTTTGCTGATTACGTCTGGCTCCAAAAGAGGCCGGTATTATAACTTTATAACATGAAATTATGTTTGTGTTGAGCATGTGACCTGGGAGCTGACAGCCATTTCACCTAGATTTAAAGGAGTCATTCAAAAAAACCCACCTTTCACATTCCTGCAAGAAGCAGCTTTGCCTCTGGTTCTTACAAACTTCTTACCTCCTATGTTATAATTTTCCCCATTTTGCAGTATGTTTTCATTATGGCTTCCAAAATGATGTTTGTGACCAGTGCAGAAAAGCGAGCAGCCTAAGCAGACATTACAAAAGCATTCTTAATGTTCTTTCTCTGCAATGAAGTAATCTATAAGGAATGTCTGTACCAGTTTGAAAACTTTTCTGACAAAGAGCACGTATGTGTGATGTGTTTCAAGGAATGAGTTGAAATGGCAAATGTGAGCACTTTCCCACCAAAATTTTAGCTGCTTTTGTAAAGCATAACTACATTTTCTGTAAAGATACAGATGCCGCTTGACAACCACAACTCTAAAGAATTTAAGTATTTGCAATCTCTTCACCTCACATATTTTTTAATTAATGAAAAAGAGCACCTGTAGGGGTTGAAAAATGTGTTGTGGTTGTAATTATGGAACCATTCAGATCGTACTGCTGGGATTCTGCCAAAGCCAGATGAAGGTGCAGGCTGCCATGTGGCTTGGAGGTGATTCTTCCCCCTCCTGTTAGGATGTCACTGAGATTACAGTTGTATCACAGTATCACAGTATCACAGTAGGTTAGAGATTGGAAGGGACCTCAAAAGATCATCTAGTCCAATCCCCCTGCTGGAGCAGGAACACCTAGATAAGGTTACACAGGAACGTGTCCAGGCGGGTCTTGAATGTCTCCAAAGAAGGAGATTCCACAACCTCCCTGGGCAGCCTGTTCCAGTGTTCCGTCACCCTCACTGAGAAGAAGTTTCTTCTCAGGTTTAAGTGGAACCTCTTGTGCTCCAATTTGTACCCATTACCCCTTGTCCTTTCATTGTTTGCCACTGAGAAGAGCCTGGCTCCATCCTCGTGACACTCCCCCTTTATATATTTATATACACTAATAAGGTCACCCCTCAATCTCCTCTTCTCCAAACTATAGAGACCCAGCTCCCTCAGTCTTTCCTCATAAGGGTTGTGCTCAGAAATGTTTTGAAGCTGCCTGGGGAGAAAGCACAGAACTGCTCTGGGTCTCAGGCTCCAAAGGTTTGTGCTTTGTGGTGGCTACCCTAACTTTGTGTGCACATGTGTGTCTTCTCCATTGTTTGCTGGATGTACACTTCCACATCACTCAATCCTTCCTGGATAAATGAGCCATTCTTGTTTGCAGCACTGCCAGCTTCCCTGACGGCAGCAGTTCAAACCTTGCCATGAGGGAGATGGCAGCTTTTCCTCAATGTATTTTCTCCTTCCTCAGCATGGATGCCACCTTCCGTTTTGCGTAAATGGGTTTACAGCAGCCGTTTCACCTCTGTGTTTCTCTGTGTGGCTGCAAGGCCGGGCTTCAGAACAGGCACTGACATCCGCTGCTTTTAGTCAGACTGAAATTGTGTCCAGCGACAAAATGATGGGAGCTGTGGAAATCCTACAGGAAAACAGGAGAGAGACAGCAATGAGTAGTCAGGATGCAGGCTTGAAGGGATCTGAGGGGGCTGAGGCACGAGGAGGATGAAGGACTGGTGCAGTGTTGCTGCTGCAGGGGCTCAGGTGATGAAGGTGGTGAGAGCAACACAGCACGTGCCATGGGATAGAAAGCATGGCAGAAGAGAGTAAGCTCTGTATGACAGCCTGGGGCAGAGGTGTTGCTGTGGCTCCCCATGCAGGAAACATCCAACAGAAACTGGAAGAAGGGTGTTTGAAGATAGGTATTTACTTCCTTGCTGTTTGACAATTTAATTTTTTTAACCTGTAATGATTATATGTAGCTCAAACACACACACTTTAAATTATTATTGAAATGTTTACAGTGTGTGAGAAATCATTAACAAAAGATTCCAACCATAATTACAGCACTCAATAACAGAAGCTTATTAGACTAAAAGTGTTTATTATTTTTTTTCTTTAGAAAGGAGTTAACAAGATGGTTAATGTCCAAGAACACTCTTACACATACAGAGAGGCTACAGAAATTCTTAGTAGCCGGAAATCTGAAAGACTTCAAGACTAAAATCTGAACATCAGTATGAAATGTATGTCTCCGTTAACTGCTACAGTAGCTTTCTGTTCTACTTCCTAGCTATTGAACATAATAATTTATCAGTATATCCTCAACAAATTGAAACAGTTATTTAATTCTATCACAACTCTACCTATCTTTAAATATGCATTTCAGAACTGCTTCCTGCTTCTACAGATTGTAGTCCCATTCACACTTCGGGGCAGCTGCTATCAGATCATCCTTAATCCATAGTAGCAGATGAAATTTCTAAAAACATAGTGTGGAGAATGCTCACTTCATGGTATTTGTGTCACAGTTGTTTTATTAGATGTTCCAGAGAAGAAAAGATAAACCATTCTTCTAACAGCAGATAATCTTTATCTGTGGTGCTCATATGGAAAAACTATGGCAAACTTTGTGTACTTACTGTCAAAAATTCTGAAAACAGCTTTAATATTTGTGGTTTCATTTGTCTTACCACCATTTTTTAGGCTCCTAAGTCCTGATCCTTCAACTGATGAAGAGAGTACTAATCCCTTTAATTTTACTGATAATATCTTAGACATTAGCGTCACTGAGGTCAGTTAACTAAACCTAAAACATGAACTGTGCACAAGCCAAATACAGTGCATGCAGGGTAGGTAAGAGCTTTGGCATTTCTTGCTCTTCCTGAAGTACATTATACGGCCTGGAATATATTGTCCTGAAGATAGAGCTCCGTTTGATGTTGTATGAACAGACTTTGTTATGGTTCTCTCATCTTCTTTACTGAAAACCAGACTTGACCTAGAGTAGAGTCAAAATAAACCACATGACAGTATTCAAGAGGCAGGAGAAATTAAAAGGAGTTGGGCAATCTTTGGTATAGACAAGAACAGTTTATGCATACTAGAGATGCATAGGTCATATCTAATGATACACAAAATATCTTCTCCCACACCCTTCCAGGACTTAGGAGGGTTAAAAAATGGTAACAGTGAAATGACGCGGAATACCACCACCTATCCATGGCATCACAGCAGAATATTCTCCATAGATTTAGTCTTTCTGTCTCAGAAATTCTCATGCAGCCTAGCCTTTCTTTGGGTGCTTTTCAGCTCCAGTAAATCCAAGAAGACTGTGAGGTCATCTTAGTTTATGAGTCAGGCTATCGTACTTGCAATAAAAGATTACAGGATACTGGAGTGTTTCTCAAAGTGAAAATGACCTAATGTACAGCTACACTGCTATTGAGCTGAATTGGAATTATACATACCTGACCCATACAGAACAACTGGAATTTGAATCTCAAGAACTGAGAACATCTTTTAGGCTATCAGGTTCCACTGATGCATGAATAATCAAACATTAAAAGTTTTCCTACTAGCACTGAATTTTCTCAAAGTTGCTGTGTCTGAATTAATTACTCAGCAGGTTTATGCACAGCAGCTGACAGAAACATGGATCAGTACTAAAACCACATACTATTTTGACTGACATTGTAAGAAAACCAGTTAGACCTGCTGGATGTTTTGACATCTCTTGCTAAATCAAAGTGATTTTATGAGTTAATCTCTTATGGCAGCAAGAAATCAGCTCAGAAAAAAACTCAATCTAGAAAAAGTAGCTAGTAGTCTCTGTTCAAGTAATCATTATATTGACTCTTTCCATTTAATAATTTATAGATGCCAAATAACAGTGGAATGTGCTCAGACTAAAATCAATGAGAAAAAGAAAACGAGATTTTTAAGGTAATTCAAGATAACTTTTGTATGTTTGTATTTTAATGATCTTCGTTGATAGGATATTAAGTATGTTTGTGATGCTCATGTTGCAAAATAGTTTACAATGAAGTACAGCATTTACCCGAAAAATGCATTATCTGTTCTCAGGATAGTTTTACTTTTTATATGCACATAACATTTAGAATAAGTCAGGTATAAAGTATTTAGCTGGTTTTCACTAAGTATTTCAGTAGTTCCATGGAATTTAATTCCCACTTTACTATTAGGCAAGTGACAGACTGAAGGGATTAACAAATTCTTAACTTTTCCCCCATGTTGAAAGAAACAGCTCATTTTCATTGACAGGCACAGGTGCAATCTGCTGGCCACAATGGATTCAGTGAATGTATTGTTTATCAGAAATGCTGGCTACTGTGAAAATTATTCCTACCTTATTGCAACACAAGTTAACAAGCAAAAGACATTTCAATGAATAAAATCTCCTATGAGTATCTAATTTTTGTGGTCTTGAGGCTACATAATTAGACTCCACAATGAGCCTCCTCATGTGAGGGACTTCAGTCTTCTTCTTCTTCTTCTGGTTGGGTGACTCTGCTGACTTGATGAGCAACTTTAATTGGTCCTTCAGTAGAAAAATCCTCTTGTTTTCCAGAAGCAAAATATTTATTTTGGTAAATACTGGGACTTTGGATACAAACCAAAGTCAGTATCAAGTCTTGTTTTTCCCACTGAAATACACGGGGGGCTAATTAAGGAGACTGATGATGTAAACTTTTAGAGGTATCAACCTCCACATAAGGAATCCAGGATCTGTAGTTATAAAAAAATATTGTTATGGGGTAGTGCTTTTAATTACTATGTAATTTTAATTACTAAATAACTAAAGTGTGTATAATCTGAAGAAATGTAATAATGGACCAGCTCTTCATAACTGCATCAGTGCAAATTCAGGGCTGTGACTCCCACTTCTAAAATCAAATTATATTATTTCCCTGGCTTATACAACTCTACAATGAATAAAGAAGAAAAATCTTAAATTCAAACCAAATATGCTATTGTTGCCTGCTTGCCTTGCCTTTGGATACAAGTAGCAAAAGCAGTTCTGCATCTAACAAAGACTTATAATACCACAGTGTTTCAGTATTCCATTAAAATCATTACATGCTTTTGGTAATATTTTTGCAGATTACATTGCATTAGAGACTCTTATGATGATGTCATCACACTGGAGAGAGTGCTGCCTAGAAAGGTTTCTTCTCTTTGATGCTGTTTCATTTTTTCGGTTCCTTTTCAAAACAACCAGCATCTGTAAGATAGAAGGGATGAAGAGTCTGAAAAGATTTGATTGTCCAAAGTACCACTGAAATAGGGATGGAAGCAGAGTACCGCTGATTTGCGTAGCTCAGAAAGTTTTTGTTACTTTTGTTCCACAGTTTCCCTGGGGAGTAGGGCTGAAAATACAGGCAGCTGTCATTCTTCCCTCAGGAAGGAAGAGCACTTCCACTTTGTATAATCTCATAGTGAAGATGTGGGTTCAGATACCCTCCGGCAGAGCAGGGATGTGAACTGGTTTTCCCACATCCTCAGTGAATGCTCCAGCCACCTGAGTACTAGAAAGGGATGGGTTTATTCCTCCTCCTGGCCTGTGAATTGAGGCTTTTGTTTCTAAAGATATTAATGAAAAGTGACGGGAACTGGAACACTGCAGAAATGTGAAAAGAAACTGTTCTAGTCCACCCTAAAACAGCTCATTTTTCTAAGAAAGTAACTAATACACAGAGGATCTTCTGTCCATCTTCCACATTTGAGATAGTAAGTCCAGCTACTGAAAACAATCCTTTCCCAGATGGCCATATTCCATTGTCCCTATCAGGACAGAGGTAGTTTATTATCTTCTCAGAGTAAGTGCATGCAAACTTGCTTGTTCTGCTCTTGCGCCTCAGGGAAAAACCCAAGATTTATATTCATCTTCATTTGTTCCTTGACTCTTCCTGTACTGTGTTCAAGAAGTGTATTGAGCACACATGTTTTCACCACTGTAACAGAGCACTGGGTCATCAGTTCCTGGTCTGCCACAACCAGTCCCACTTTAATCACCTGTTCCATAACCAGCTCCTCCTTCACCCCCCCAAAATCTCCATGCAGTGCTCCAGGGAACTGCATTCTCCAATAACCTTGCATTTGGAGTCTGTCTCTGGGAGCCATCTCTCACCACATACTCTGTTGTAAGCATCTGTGTGACCTGAAAGCATAAAGCCTCTTCCTCGAGTATTCTTTTATTTTTGTTCCTGGACATACTTGACATCTGGTAAATGCTGTTTACTTGCTTACTGAAGCATTAAAGTGCTAAGCCACATCTTTAAGAAGGAAAAATGTATTTTATATCTTGGTCTACTTTCATATAGAACCACTTATGTTAAAAAGTCAATACTTCCCTATTTCCTGTTTTTTTCAGAATAGCTTGTACACCAAGATATGAAAGTAGTCTGTGCACTGAAGTACTGAGTGGGAATTTTTCCCTCATAGGCGTATTTATAACATATCAGAAAATAAACAACATACTGAAAATATAAAGCATCATAATTAACTTTTATTAAAAAAGGAGAGTTATGTAAAAACTGTAAAGTCCTAGTAGGACTATTAATACTGTAAGTTTTAAAATAATGGTGATAAATTAAATCCACTTTGTATTTAAAACCACTTTGTCAGTTTTGGCAAGCACTCCTGAGAACTGAAATCAAAAGAACATAAATTAAAGAGTAACTGTTTATTATTAATCTGAGAGAGTACATTTCACTTATGTGCAAGTTCCCCGATTTTCCAGTTCTACAATTAGGTTTCCAATTTACCAGCATCCAGATCCACTCACATATTGGCTGTGTGCCCTACGGATGCTCACAACTGAGGGAGTGGGGGGCTTGATGTCACAGAAGTATCTGTCAGGCATCTTCCAAATGCCTCTATGTCTTTTCTGTCACTGGTACTCCTACTCCTCTGAGAAGACCCCCTCAATACTCTCCTATAGGATCACGCTGCACATAGAAGACTATCTCATGCTTTTTCTCTTCCTGTGCTTCCCAAAGTCCTACACAATGTAAAAGTGGAAGGAACATCAACCACTGTGTAGGCTCCTCCTTAACCAAAAGGTTCCTTGTACGTATCAATGTAATCTCTTTTACACCATCTTAATTCTTCTTATATGCACTTGCATATAAAGCTAGTAATAGAAATATTTCAGAAAGCTATCATTAACCTCAGCAATCACTTCTAATTTGGATTTGAGTTCCTGGACTAATCTGGTGAATATGAAATAAAATAACCCCTATGAGAAGCTGATTTTCAGATGTTTTCCAAGTCAAATCAATATATATTAGTGTTATTTTTGTTAACACATGATCATTCTTTTTTTCAGTTTCAAAATGAAAAGAAAAATCTACCAGAAAGAATAACACGATCACTACACTTCTCTTTCTTTTCTTAGTGCTGACGTCAGGAGCAAAAGATTTAATTCTCCTTTTCAATATTCTCCTGTATTTTCATTTAAAAAAATTAATATTCTGACAATAAATTATGGCATGTAAATACGGTGATGGAAGATCCAAACTACACTAAAGTTTTGTAAGCATTTACTGAAAAATAACACTACTGAAACACCTGGACCTTTGGGCACAGTGTACAACCCCCATTTCAGGGCACTGGGTGTGATGCAGTATTTGCCCACACAGCTCAGAGTGAAGTGGAAAAGGGATGTCTTTGCAGTCAGTAACAATGCAAAGCTTTTGTTTGGACATTGGGTTTTTTTTTGTCTGGATAATTGTACCTTCAAAGACATTTATCCCAACAGCAGAACTTCACTGTGCTCTGTGATTAGCTGCAATTTTTTTTGGCAGGACTGACACATTGCTGATAAGGACCTGTTATACACCCACTGCATGTGTCACTGACTTCTCATTAGGATGAAATCTTGACCCTACCCAAGTCAGATTTGTCACCGATTTAATTGTAGCCACAATTACCTCCTTAATGTTTTCTAACATCTTCAGAGGAGACAATTAGCTGCTTCTGGCCAAGACAAACAAGCAAGCGACTTCATGGCAGATTTCCCTGCCATGATCTTGTGAGGAGTGGTGTTGTCTGTCCTATTTCCAATGACAGCTGAAAGAGGGAACTAAAACACTTTGGGTCTGGAGAAAGGTTGCAGCTGGCAGAAGCTGCAGACAAAGGTCTTTCCCTGTAAGGGGCAGTTTTGCTGGCTGCAGTTGTTGCTCCTGCTCCAGTAGTGTACTTCCACATGAAAACTGTGCTCTGCCTAGGAACAGGCACAGCAGCACCACCTAAACAGAAAAAAGCCCATACAAAATCGTGCTCTTCAGATACCCGCATTCACACCGTGAACACCAGCCTACCCAGATTTGCTTTACCTCACTTTGAACTCAGTTTGTTTCTGTAAGGTCTTTTGTAGGCCTGGGGTGGGTATTACCATCCTACTTCAGAGGGAGTCACACAGACTTCTACAGGGGTCTCTAGGCAGCATGTGTGCTGGGGTAATGCAGGGGAGAAGGGCCCCCGCTGCATCCATGCCCTGGAAACACAGAACCACAGAATGGTTTGGGTTGGAAAGGACCTTGAGATCATCCCGTTCCAACCCCCTGTGTCATACCAGGCGACATCAATGAAGGCTCTGTCCAAACTGGACTTGACCACCACCAGGGATGGAGCATTCACAGCCTCCCTGGGCAGCCCGTTCCTGTGCCTCACCACCCTAACAGTAAAGAACTTCCTCCTTATATCCAATCTAAACTTCCCCTGTTTAAGCTTTAACCTGTTACCCCTTGTCCTATCACTACAGTCACTGATGAACAGTCTCTCTCCAGCATCCTTGAGGGCCCCCTTCAGAATTCACACTGCCCCTGGACCCTTCATGTTTTTTCACCTAACTCCTGCACTAGTCCGTCAAGCACCCAGGGCTACCTGCTCCATACCTGAGAAAGTCTTGGAATCCGCCAAGCCCGCAGGCCCGGAACTCCCGCTGTGCGGCCAACCCGCACTCTCAGCGACAGGCCGCTTGGCGCCCAGCTCCCCGTCCCGCCCGACGGCGGCGGACTCCATCTCCCGGCATGCCGAGCGGGCGGAGCAAGCGCATGCCTGCCCCTGCCATAGAGCCCGGTGTTCACGCCTCCCCTCAGCCGGGCTGCGCGCGGCGGAGCAGCAATTACACCATGGAGGCCGTTCCACAGCCACTGCCCGGCGGGACTGCCGCCGCCGCCGCCTCCACTGCCACTGCTCCCCTGCCGCCGCAGCAGCCCCCGGCGCAGGAACGGAAGCTGGAGCAGGAGAAGCTGTCGGGGGTGGTGAAGAGCGTCCACCGGCGGCTGCGCAAGAAGTACCGGGAAGGTAACCGCGGGGGACGGGGCCGCCCCCTCCGCGCAGCCCAGGCCGGGCCGGCCGCTCCGCTCCGCGTGGGAGGGGTGGGGGGGTGGTCTGGGAAGCAGCCGCTGTGCGGCGGCGGTAGGAGGGAGTCGGGCTCCGCGCGGGCCGGCCCGGTGTCCGCAGCCCCTGTGGGAGCTGCGAACCGCTGCCGAAGGGGGTGTGTCGGGGGGGGCAGCGGCAGGGAGTTAGCGGCTGGGAGCCGCGCCGGGTGCGCTTCCTGCTCCTCCCCGGGAGGCGGGGGGCTCGGCCGGCACCGGGTGCCCACAGCCGCTGCCGGATCTGCCGGGGTCCTGCCGCTTTACTGGAGCTCTTGATAGCGGAGAGCCCTTCCTGGCTCGGGAGGGCTCGCAGCTCATCTGCCAGAGCTTTTCCTGTGGGTTGGTGTGCAGGGATGATGCTGCGAGGTGAAAAGGTGCTAAAGGTGTGCTACCTGTGTGTGGATATGGGTCCCTCCGAATGGCCCTGCCTTACTGCTCTGTGCGGCTTTGAATAGCTGACAGCTAGGCCTTTGGCCACCGGCAGCTTCTAAGTCGTACAGCAGTGTTTTCCACACTGAGGATATGCAGGAGTGAGAACAGTCAGTTGCGAACGCCAGGAGGGATTGAATGGTGATCTGGAAAGGCATGGGTCTTTGTGAATTGTTTGTGCCTTCTGTCTTTCAGCTGGGGAGAAATAGTTCAGGCTGGAGCAGTAAGCAAAAGAGTTGGGAAAAAGCTGTTACAAAATAAATTACTCTGAGTCCTGAAAAATCTACTTTGTCATCAGTATTAACGCCCTTGTGCAAGGTTCTTATGAGTGGTATTGGAATGCTTAAAACCTCCCAGAAATGCTTTCAGATGAGTGTCAGAGTTGAGATTTGTTTGCTGAAATTTGCAGCTTCCTCTGGTTGATTGTAATAATCTGTTCAATCTCCTTTATAACACAGGTTACAAAAAAATTTATCCTCCATTCATTCTTTCAGTGAGTCCACAGCCCTTTGGTGGGTACCTGCAGAAGGGTAGTCATAAAATGGGAACTCTTGCTGTTGCAGGCATGATTTCTTGCCTGTTTTCTGTGTATGGCACTCTTAAAGAAACAATGTCATACTGCTTTGTGAACTGCAGAAGTCTCCACAGGAGCCTGTCCATGGGATTTGGGCAGAGATATCTACCTATCTAGACACTGATCAAAAGTTGCTGTTTATTTTGGCCTTGGTGAGTCAAAAGGGAGGATCTCACTTGTTTTTCCAACTTTTGAGTGAAGAAATGTTGTACGTTTTAAAGTTCAAATTCTAGCAAAGGAGTCAGGCTTTTAGCAGTTCATATTTCTCTGTTATTTCAGAGTGCCAGCAGATTAAGACAGACAAGCATTGGCACTGTTATATTAAAAAATGTGGGCAATCTCTGTAAACAACTGAACTTTTTATAGATGAGAGCCTAAACTACATGGAAGCCTATGTCTCAGCAAAGAGCAAGTTAGTATGCAGGGGTAAGTTTTGTGTAACTGCTTAACTGAAAGAGCCATCCCTACTCTGAATTTACTTCTTATGTCCTGTAAATCGTGTTAATGAAGACTTTGCAGTGAATTTTCAAGTTGCTGTAAATTAGCAACACTGTGTATGTTCATGGAGAGAGTTAAAAACCAATCATCACCTCATGCCTCTGCCACAAGGACAGTTCCATCCATTACCTATTCATCCAATCCTAGGTGCTCTGTACATATTACTAGCACTTAGTAGTCATAATACTTCATATATTAGGTTCTTTCAGTTCTGGAATTTTGGTTTTGGAGTCTTCTCCCTACATTTGTCCATGATTCTAAAAGCAGGCTTGAGGATCTCCTTCCTAAATGTCTTTAGTGTCCCTCTGTAATACTTGGATGTACTTGACCTCTGAAGGAGCTTTCCTTGGTTTTTTTTGCTTTCTAATACTTTGCAGTACTGACTGGCAAGTACATTACCCTGACAAAAACAAAGTTGACAGTTTGATGAAGAGAAATATAAAAGTAACAAATCATTTGTAATTTTTCAGTATGATCTGAATTATAACTTGGGTATGAAAAAGCAAGGAGAAATGCATCCTTGGTTATATGCTTAGAGTTTACTACACAGGGAAAACCTTGTGACTCCATAGTGCACTGCATCCACTTCCATATGAAGCAGAAACAGAGCTCTCTGTATTATTCTAGAGTCTTTTATCCCAGAGCCTTGTGTTGTGCTTATTTTTGTTTTGTCTTTTTCTAACTCTTCTCATGTTTACTAGAATTCTGTGAAACTAGTTTCCATTTTGTCTAAATAAGCAATCAGTACTAGAATATCTGTTGCATGGACTTCGGTGCTTTTTAGGTATCTAAAATAGGATCACATATTAATATTGGTGGTGGAGGAAAAAGCATGGCGACTATTCTTCTGAAAGCTACATGATTATGTTGCACAGGGTGGATAAGTCTAAGAAAGCCCTTGTTATTGTATTATGATCTTAAGTTAGTGTCTTCTGTTAGAAGTGTAGGAGAGAAATAGATGTGGCCTTGAGACACTGAGATGTTCATTGATAGAAGTTATACAGGCTTGATTTTAATAAGCTGATTTTTTGTGGAATTCATTTGCCTTGCTGATGTTAGCAAGGCTGATGTTTCAATGGGGAATTGTAAAAGGCGAGTCAGTGTATTATCTGACTTGCTTATAACTGGCACCATTGTTACAATTTTGTTTTACTTTCTGCCATGGTTCCCCTTCTTTTTTGAAGATGAGTCAGTGCACAAGTGACAATATGCTTCAAAACTGCAAGTTAGCGGGTTTCTGAAGAAGTTCCATACTTGTCAAAGTGCAAGAGAAATATTTCTTAACTAGGGATGCATCACAGAAAAACTTTTTGCAGTTACAAGGAATTACTACAGTAAAGTTTAGTCAGCATCATGTCATCTAAAGGGCTTGATGGTTTTTTTTCCTGATGGAATATTGCAGCTCTTCAGATCTGTCAAGGCTGAATCTTGGCTTCTTTTTCAATTTCTGCATTTGTTGAACCACTTTTAAGTATGGTGGATGAGTTTCGTATGTACTTCTGTTTTGTGGCTCATGTCATACCCTAATCCCAGAGCATGCCAGTGTATGACAAAACATTCGCCGTGTTTGAAATTGTTCAACGTGAATTCTTTTTGGTTTGTGTTGAAGTGCATTGGGGTTTTCTTCCTTCAACAACATTAGCTTTTTTTACTGTGTGACTAGTACCTACCTTTTCCTATTTTCAGAATGTTAATGATCTAGTATGACTTCTAGTGGGAATAGTTATATTTTTTCTCCTTTTTCATCTTCTTTTCATTCTTTTCAGTTTCCTGTCTTTCCCCTTACACTCCCCTGTTGTTCATTAGTAAATAAGGAAAGTATGTAATCATAAATGCCATGTCAGATTTGGTATTTCATGTCTGCAGGATACTCTTTTTCCACTGTGGCTCCTATGGCAGTATTGTGCTGTATATTTTAGAATGGTTTAATGAGGTTTATCAAATGAGTGCGGAGACTTTAGTGGGGGAAAAAAGGTGTGTTTTTTTCAAATCAAAGTGGTTGGTCCCTGTCCACAGGGAGTGAATGTGTCAACTAAATTAGTTAATCCTTGTGAGTAAATTAGTTAAAAGTTGTTTCAGACTAAAGCACTGATAAAGACAGACAATGCTTGTCTGCTGGTTCCTGATTATACACATAATTCCTCAGGTTAGCATATAAATTTTGTCTCCATGAGGAAAACTTCAAGTGCGAACGAAAGACACTGAGGTGTAACATGTTCACTTAGGAGTGTATCTTGTTAGCGTAAGACTTGTGTTTTTTTGAAGTTTTACTCCTGCTTCCCATCTAGAATGCATTAGTTTCATCCTAATTACCTTACACACCAGAGTAAAATCCAAAAGCTAAAACAGCTCTCAAATGCTCAGTTACTCACTTCAGAGAAACTCCAGAACTTCAGAAACATGCTTGACACAAGCACTTAGTACAGAAATCAGGGTTTTTCATGAGTCTTGAATTTTTCCCACTAGCCTGTTAAAACATTGGGGTGGGGAAAACCAGTGTTTGCTTCAGTCTCCTGGTTCTGTTGCCTGGTACTGTACATGACCCCAAATTTTATAGGATCTTCTTGTATGCATCCTTTGGGCACCTGCAGCTGTGGGCTGGAGCATGTTGTATCAGTTGCATATGTGCATGTATTCCTCATATACTGCATGCATGCTCATGTCTGTCAAGCCCGATAGGCTTGTAAAAGCAGATTTAGAGGTTTGTAGGGAGCTCAACATGATCTGCTGAACATCTGCTATGTGATATTTGTTTGTTTCCTGTTGCTTGTAGCAGCCAAATAGGCTTAATTTTTACTGTGGTAAAAATCCCTTCCCCTGATACAGAGTCAATCTTTTTGTCTTTTTTTCCCTGAGTTGTTTATTACTTTTATAGTCATGCAGGGCTGTATTTATCAAGTAAACGCTTTCATTATGCATTATGAGCCTCAGTTGTAGATGGTTTTGTACATAGACTGGAAAGATGATTTACAGGACTCTCTACTTCTCCCTGGAAATCCCTGTTAAGTGCGAGTGGGAATAAATGCTGAGCTTATCTGTAAAGGTATTTTATGAAATATTTTGCAGTGTGTTCACGAAGATGTTTCATTTCTCCTTCTACACACTTGTTAAAGCTGTTCAGGCTTAAAATCACACAGAACTGGTACTTGTCTGGGTATTAGTTACTGTGTCACAGGAGCTGATAGAAACAATCCTAGATGGTAGTCTGATTCCTTTAAAGAAAGGGTTGTTGAAATGTCAAAGAAATGGATAATAACTTTATCATGAGTTTTCCAAATTCAGAAAATTAGGAAGAATTTACAGTAGTACCCTGCCTGATGATAGTAAGTGTCCTGAGTAGGTTAGTGGTTCAGACATTCATGGGAGAAATGTCATTCTGAAATCAGTTGCTTCATGGTCTCTTCTGCTTGCATGTTTTTCGTGAA